TCAAGAACTGAATGAGAAAGAAGAGGTCTCTGGTCCATATAATTAATTTTTCCACCATCCTCCTGGTTATATCTGAGTTTATCTCACTCATTATGTGAGGGGGGGGGGGGAAAAAGTATTTTCACATTATTTGAGCAGGGTTTTTACTTGTTTCTATGCAAACCCCAGTATGTGTTTACATCACAAGCATCCAAGTCTTACGTGGGCACCTGGGAGTTTCATATTCTTTACAGAAATAGACCTCCAAGTGAAAGTAAACTGCTGTGCTTTATTTCTAGAACAGATAACAAAAATCTCTCAACCATTTGGGACTGCCAAGGAAAAGAGCTGAAATGAAAACCAAGTTTGGAGAGAAAGATGGGCCTTCCTGGTAACAAAGGGAGTTATAAAACCACTCCTTTCTCCCATAATTCAGAGACCAGACTGAACACCACTTTGTCCCACTTTTAGAAAAATAGAACGTTAAGGAGAAGGAAGTTGACGAGTGGGTGTTCAGGAATAGGTAGTCTGGAACATGTGGTGCGCTTGCAGCAAGCCAAGCCCCATTTTCTATCTCACAGCCACCTCCTTAGACATTCCTCGGAAAAAGCCAACCACTTCATCCGCAAGGTTTTTAGGGTTGTTTGGGGCATTTGGTATAAAGCCACCTGAACACACACACGGCAGGGGAAAAGGAGCAGCCTCAGAGGTACCTCCACACAAGGAGGGGGAAAACTGGACAGCGAGGAAGGTGCAAATGAGAATTCCCGAAGTAGCGGGAGCCGCTCGGTATGACACAAAGAAAAGACTCCCTGCCCCCAGCCAGGTGCTTTTACTAGCAGGGAACACGAGGGTCAGGAAATCCATCATTCCCAGCCGCGGGGCCTAGGACGTGGAAGGCTAATGAGTGCCCAGATAACATCGCTGAGGAGCGATTATCCTCCCCCCGGGCTGCCCATTAGGCTCATTGCCGGGTGCCCCCACCGGATAATCAGGCGAGCCGGTATCACTCATCCCCCCTGCCCTCATCCACACCCTTACCATAGCCCATTCCAAGCCCTCTGGCCGCCCGCTCCTCCGGCTGCTGCTCCTCGTCCGCCCCGTCCATGCCGGCTCCGTGGCGGGCCCGCTCCGACCCAGCCCGGTTAATGCCCCCGTCCGGCCGCCCGTCCTGCCCGGCCCCGGCCGCCTCATCAGGGCCACCTGGGCACAGCGGGGGAGACCGCCCCACCCCTCTCCTCTCCACGGGAAGCACGCTGGGCCCCTGTTCTCCACACGGAGGGAACGGGAGTGTTCCAGCCTTGGTGAGGATATCGGGAAGAATGCTCCCCGTGAGGAGCTGGCTGAAATATCGCCGTGTGCACTTTGGTGTTGCAAAACTCGCCACCCGTGGATGGAGGGGACTTCGTTGTCAGGACTGCTAGACCTAGTTCTGCGTTCCTCAGTACGAGGACAATGAGCTACTGGACAGGGTCCAGCGAAAGGAAACCAAGATGATGCGGGGTCTGGAATGTTACAATGAGAGAGACTGCAGGGGCAGGGTCTGTTCTGGCTGCGGAAGACTGGGAAGGGTCTTGTAATCCATATAAATAATCTTTAATAGGTGGCATGAGGATGGTGCCAGACTCTTTTCAGTTGTGGCCAGCGGCAGGACAAGGAGCAATAGTGTGAAAACTGCATGTATTTTATGATTGGCTTTTCGCAAATATTAAAATGAATATTATATGTGTTGTGTTAAAAAGTAATGCTGTATTAATTCTCCTAAGTACTGTGTTAAATATAGTTTTAGGTTATAAAAATTGTTAAAATAGAAACTATGCTATGTAAGATGCTTTATTTAACAGAAAGGGCTTACAGCGAGATAGCAGCCACAGGACACCTAAATCTTTCAGAGAAAGGGAATTTATTGCCATCTTATCAGAAGAAACTAACTTCCCGCCTTGGAGGCGCTGTTAGGATTAGAAGGAAGAAGTTGACAATGACCAGACGGAATCCTGTGTTTGAATGGAATTTATGCATCATGTATGAAGTGAATGAATATGCAACGGGCTATTGTTCTTAAGGGTTAATCCTTTGTTAGCAGGGGTCATTTTTCGGGCTCGTGATGCCCAGAAAAAGGTACCCGGACCTCCATAACTCTTTGTTTTTATTGTCTCATATTGCCTTAATTCAATTTGTACAAATTGTTATTACTCTAATCATGTTACTATTTTTTTTAACCATTTTGTTACTATTAAACTTTTAAAAATTTTAAAAATAAATGATTGGCGTTTTTCACAAATAGCCATGAACTAAACCACAAAAAGTTTAATCTCAACATGAGGAAGACCTTTTTTTCAGTAGAGAATGGCAGAGCACTGGAGCAGCTGCCCAGGGAGGGAATGAAGTCTCCCTCTTTGGGGAAATTCCTAACTCATCTGGACGCGTTCCTGTGTCACCTGCTCTGGATGACCCTGACTAGACCATCTCTAGAGATGCTTCCCAGCCCTAAGAATTCTGTGATTGTGATCTTTTCCGGTGGCCTGGCAGGAACACATTTTTTTAGGTGTCCAGCAGCTTCTAGTTCTTCAGCAGCTGGGGGCTGCAAGGAACAAATGGCACTTCCTGACTTTTGAGTGCTATAATTTGTGTCCTTTCAATGCTTAACAATTCTTACTAAAAAGAAGGCTCCTAAGAGACCAGCACCAGGCAGTGCTTGCATGAAGACTGAGACATACATCCTGATGCACCAAAACACAACATCCTTCATCCTCCTCCTGTTTATTGGCTCATCATCGTGTTGCTGGCACAGCACTGTTCTCCTCCTGACTCAAAATTCCTGTCTTCATTTCAAGGTTTACTTTTGGCTTCTAAAGCCTTGCTTCTGCACATGCTTTCACCTGAATCATTTCATCAGGTTAAACGAGTGTAAGCTGAAAGATCTGTGCCAACATTTTGGAGCCAGTATAATTGGTTTAACAGTGCACCTGGTTCAGCCATCAGCTACAAGAAGTTGGGACTAAAATGGCATTTGATTTGTTAACAGGATTCAGCTGACAAGACACATCTTGAGGGTCATGGGACCTCTTCAATATTAGAAAACAATGCAAATAGAAAAAAACACTATCTGCTTTAAAAGTTGTTTCTGAGCAAGGTTGTTTATTTACTGAACTCTGGTCCTAATATCACCTCTTTGGTCCTAATATCACCTTTTTTGTGAAAATAATTACTTAGGAAAATGCTTTCATTTATTTTCCTTGAGGAAGGACCATCACAGATCCCCAGCACTAGAAGTTTTGGGGGGTTTTTGAGCCATACATATACGTGTAGATATGTATGTATGTATATGTACATATATATATAATATATACACACCATGTATATTAAACTACTTTATATGTATTTTAAACTGCTTTTTATGGAAAATGTCAGCAGTCATAAAATTTGGTTTTCAGACATACACCCTGACTTCTCAGCTTCTCAACAAAACTTTTTAAAGGCAGCTCATGCTTGTATTTCATTGCTGTCCTTTTCACAAAAAGAAAATAGTGTAACTGCCCTGAGTGTCGTCTTTAATTATTTCTTTTTTTCAGAAATCCTGAATTTGTTTTGTCCAGATACACTTTGTGTCAGTCTCCACAGGTTCCCGGGGAAGATACAGTGCCACCCAGCACAGTATCTTTGTGAGTAGCAGGAAAGTGTTGGGATTTGCATGACATACCCTATGCTTCTGTTTATTACTGATTTTCTGGTAAATCAGGTAATCCATATTAGATAATGTGGGGAGAAATTTTGGCACAATTTAGACTGTCATAGGATACAGTAAGCATTCCATTAACTTGATTCCTGTATTGTGAATGTGCAGTTGGGAGGGTTATTGTACTAGTTTGATTAAGTTTGTACAAATCAAAGATATATCAATCAGTTTCAGTGTAGATTTGTTTATGGATTTTGGTGGCAGGATGGTGCTGGGGCTAAAAGTTTAACTAAATAGTGAGAAGTTGAGGCCTGTCTGAAATGTAAGAAATCAAAGTAACCCAGGGTATAAGCACTTGTTCTTAGAAGTGAAAGCTGACCTTTAAATGCTCCTCAACATATAAAGGCCTGACATCAGGAAATAAAGGCTGTGACAGGGACAAGTTAACCTGTGATCCAACTAGTTAGAAAGAGTACAGAAGTGCTGTCAATTATGACAACAGTACCCTTGAAGTTTCCTATGTCAAGTGGAATTTTAACAACATATGGACTTAAGCACAGAAACCACTTTGGGAGGCTGTAATGAACAATCTGCCTGCTTGCTTTCCAGAGCAGAGTTTGAAAGAGTAAAGAACCTGAGGTGTTGAACAAGATGACTTCTAATTTAGAATGGGAATATATATGGCTGGCTCCTCCTGGATGAAGCTGAAGTGGATGTGGAATGCCTTGACTGCCTGTGTGAGGTGACCTTACACAGCAGAAGTGATCCCATGGCAACATTTTATGTCCCACCTGAGACACTGACAATCCTGGGGACTTGGAACTGCATAAATTCATGACAGCTTGGGACAAGCAGGCGTTTGGGATATCTGAATATTCTGGGTCTTGTGGAGGATTATAACCCTTCTTGTGTGAGTCTGAGGTAGAGCTCTGCTTTGGCTCTTAGCTTGGGAACAGCTACAGTCCTTCTGGGGGAAATGTGTTAGCAGATTGTTGTCTGACCATAGACTAAAAGTTGAATAACTGGGTCCTGTCCTTCTGCTCTAGTGGGCTGAACTCCCATTTTCTTAGTTCATCCCTTCAGCTTACCTTCAGTTATGGATGACTAACACCACTGTGGAAGAGCTGCAACATCAGCTCTCTAGGGCTGGGGATAACACTGAAGAACCTTAAGGCTGGATAAACCCAGCTTTCATCACTGCCTCTGCTAAAGAGAACTGTTTGTACTTAACAGTCACTTAGAAAGGAAAATTATAGCAAAAAAATACTGCATGTATATTCAGTAAATTGAATTACTTACATTTGAGAGGAAAACCTAAATAACAAGGCAAGCAGAAAGCTTTTTAACTGGAGAAGTGCATGAGTTTATTAGGACTAAAAGCAAGTTTTCTTTTAATCCAGCAAAAATTATTGATATAAATAGGCCATAATAAGCTATTCTAGATACAATGTAAATGGGATTTAAAGGCAGAATGTTACAGAGACAGAAAGCTGGAGATACAAAGGTAACTAATTCTTCAAATATATTAAACGCAAGAGGCTACACGTGGCTTTCTTTGGTGTACAGATTCTTAAACTTGGTCTTGCATTGACTGAACTGAACACTTTAACACAAAAACAGTATTTTACACTTGAAGGCATATCCTCAAACAGACAGGTTCTGCACAAATGCATGTAAACTGGACTTAAAACCAGAGTCCTTAAAAAGAACAAAGACCCTGGTGAACATTTTGCCTTTATCTACAGGGGCTAAATATCTCAGTGTTCTCCATAAGTGTGCAAAATGGTGCATGCAATACCACATCAGCAATCAGAGTAAGAGCAGCAGTAAAGTGCCACTTCATTGCATGTGCCTAGTCCTGGTTATTTTGTACAGGGCATTTACCAACACAAAATATAAATCTTTGTCAAAAGTCACTGATCTTCCAAGGGGAGACCGAGTAAAAAAAAGGTCAGTTCAAATGGCTTGGTGGGATGCTTGTTTAGAAGAGAGATGACCTTTTGGAAGCAGATTTCTCAGCATGATACTTCTTATGTGGGGGAAATCATCATTGTGGCTTCTGAAAACTGCTTAATTCTAATGGATTTTGTAATGCTGTCAAGGACTCTTAACAGCATTTGGGTACAATGCTGTTGTACCCAAATGCTGTTATTTGCCTATCTAAACCCCTGTAGACTTGCATGATCTAAAACATAAATTGCCCTAAATGGAAATTACACTATGGAGATCAACACCATGCAGGTATCCAGAGGATATTCAAATGGAATATTCTCTTCAGCTCTGTTGTGCTTTGCACTTAGCACCTTCCTTCTCAGGAACTTGAAGCTCTCAGGCTGCTAATACTAGTGAATTTAGCCTCACAACATGCAGTGAGGTAGGTAAGTTTACCCCCATTTTGCAGATGGCAAAACTGAGGCAGAACTCTGAAGTGACTTTCATAAAGTCCCACAACTTGTCAGTGGCAAAACCAGGAATATGTTTTCAGAAGTCCAGACCCCAGACCTCTGTCTGATTTAAGTCCCTCCCTGCTACCACAAAGCAAGAAATACATGCAACCTTTATCCTTCCTCTTGCTGCTGTAGTTTTGCTGACACAGAGGAAGTTTTTCGTGATTGAATTCCCACTTTCTTTGGCAAAAAGCACCTGGTCCTGTCAAAGTGCTTTGTATTATGCTCTTCACAAAGGCATTTCTTCTGAGGCACGATAGAAAAGCCATGGTTTCCCCATGGCAGGGAGACTGTACAGGTCCAAACAGAGCCTTATTTCTTGCAGAAGACCTGCTGCTTGGCATTCTTCACCCGTTGCTCCTCCTTCAGGTTCTTCTGCCGCACGTGTTTGCTGGAGATGTTTTCCACGTGTTCCGAGGGGAACCAGCCTCTCTCCCGATCTGAGAGTTTTACTCCTTCTATCCACCCTGTGGTGTGGGGAAAAGCACAACATGAGGCAAAAGTCACATGTTTTTTTCATTGTTTCCCATAAAAAAGCCCCATCCAAAAAGACCCTAAGAGCAAAGGAGAAGATTCTCTTTCAGCTTCCAAATAAAGCATACTGAAGAAGACGAAGAATCCCTCTGCCCTCTCAATCCTACAGTTTAAGACAGGCACTGCTCATTCTGCTCACCGTCATTGCTGTACTGCATAACCATGATGATATCTGCCTTCTCCAAAGCCAGCTCATCATTTTCCCGAGCCTTGTAAGTCTTTATGCACTGAACTTGTGGTGCATCTGAAGGGGAGGAAAGATCACATTGATATCTCGGAAAGCAACAGTAAACCTAAAAATCAGCTCCGGAGGAGGTGGAGAATAAGGAGCTGCCCAAATAAAAAGCTGAGAACTGGAAGGGACGTTGCAGGTCTTCATCTAAAATGACACATTAAAACATGTACAATAACTGGCAGCACCCAGCACTGAGGGAAAGCCCATGAGTATGTTCTTTACTACAAAACCCCAAGTATTCTGCTTTGGAATCCTTCTGGGGTATCCCACCTAACAGTGCCTGTGACTCCTGCGAGCCAGCCCAGCCCCCTTGCTGTAGCAGTAGAGCAGTCTCACCAGGGCATTCCAGGAGGTCCAGTTCTCCCCGGGGAGGTGCCAAAGCAGAGATCCACCTCAGCTTCTCACTGCTGGAAAACAGCACAGAATAGGTATCAGCATTCAGTGTCAGGGATGACAGTCTGGTGACTGAAATGGGGTGAGATGGAGAGGTGTTTGCTCACACAAAGGGAAGCTGAGAAAGGAGGTGGGAAAAGGCAAAAGTTCCCATTTTTGGAGGCTGATGGTATGACATAATGTGGTAGTCCTGTATGTGCAGCTATGATGAGAGAGGGGCAGGTGTTTCACAAGGAAATAATTATAGCAAGAGAATGCTTTTCAAGACTTCTGCTTAGAAGCTACATTTGGTATTTCAGCATTTGAATAGCTGAGGGACAATCATCAGGCTACCAGGAGGTGTCTGGCCATGGTAACTGGATATACCACAGGTAAACTTGAGTTCTTACTGTGTCTCTGTCCGGAACAAGAACTCCACTCTTTTCCCCTGGTTATTCTGAAGAAGAAAGAGACGGAACAGATTCTTGTTTGCCCCGTGGAGTTTCATCTCGCACTTCTCGCCACGCACGTATGAGAAAGCAGCGTGGTCAAACACAACGAAACGTCCACCCCTGCAGGTCAACAGGAGGAACAAAACAAGGTGAGAGTTTTAAGGCGATGAGGGTTACATAGTGAGTCACATAGTCTGCAGGAAAGCAAAAAGCTTTTAGTAAGTCTTCATCTGCTTCACACATCCTAAGCAGTGCTCTTGTTAGAAGTCTCAGAAGACCAAAGAAAAGAGAGAAGAGATTTAATGAAAAGGGTAGAAATACTAAGCTCTGTCCTGTCAGATTTTTTTTGGTAGCTTACAGCTTAAAAACAAACCCACCACCCTCAAAACCCCAACACAACTAACCAACAACTCTCTTGACAAACCAGTGATTTGCACATTCACTAGTCCTCATACTGTGCTTTAGGAAGAAATTATTTACCAAGTAAAACTAGAATAAGTGGTTATTGTTCAAGTATTTCACATTGTAGAGATGCAAAGGCAGAATCAAAGTGTTTTGCTAGGGACCACAAGATAGGTTTTTGTATTACAATATGTAATTAAGCACTGGGACTATCAATTTCCACATACTTTCATGATACTTACATCAAGTCGGGACAGGAGAGTGACTTGACAAAGACTGCCACTTGCTGGCAGGCAGAGGGAAAGGACTCTGTCACCAAAGCACAGACCCCAAAAGAGACAGGTATTTTAGAAGGGGCAGCAAGAATTGTGTTGAAGCACTCACTCCTTGGGCCGAGACAGGAGCAGACAGTCATTGAAAAGGTGCAGGTAGATGGGCCGGGTTGTGACTTTCCATTTTGGACTCAGGTTGTTGAAGTCCAGTGCTGTCAACTCACCACATTTCACAAGTCGCCTCGACTGTGAGATGAGTGGGAATATCTGCAAGACAAAAAATAAATATATATGCACAAGAAGAAGGGTCCCTGTGAGTTTTGGATTTGCATTTTTGCCTTTCTCTTGAGGAATTGTGCTTTCAGTTCTCCAGCTGGAGAGGTGTAAGTCATGGCAGGCACCTTCATAAGAAGGCTGACATGAATGATTGTCAAGGGAAGCACTGATGAAGAGGTGGCCTGCAGAGGATGCTCTGGTTCAACAGCTCTGTGTTCTCTCTGAGAGGAGAACAAAAAGTGGTTTTGTGGGGAAAGACAGAAAATACATGAGACTAGAGTAAGGCCCAGGGAATGGGTGAGCTCACCTTACACTCGAATTCAATCTTCTGGCTGAGGTAGATCAGCTCTTCCGTGCTCTTCATGCGCTGGACATTCTCATTGCAATCCTTGATGAGCTGCAGAGGAAAATAGATAAGCAGTGAGGTGGGAGCAGAACTGCATGGTGGGATCAGTACTACTCCCAGGAGCCCCTCGGGTGTCAGCATAAGTGACAGTTCCTTAGGCATCCTCCTGCAAAAAAAGTATATATTACAATCAGAGAATACTCTCAGTTAGAAGAGGCACACGAGGATCATTGAGCCCAACTCCTGGCCCTGCACAAACACTCCAATAATCTCACCCTGTGCCTGAGTGCATTGTCCAAATGTTCTTGGAGCTCTGGCAGCCTTGGGGCTGTGACCATTCCCTGGGGACCCTGTTCAGTGCCCCATGACTCTGTGGGGGAGGAACCTTTGCCTGATATCCAACCTAACCCTCCCCTGACATAGCTCCAGCCATTCCCTTGGGTCCTGTCCTTGGTCATACAGAGCAGAGATCAGGGCCTGCCTCTCCTCTTCCCCTTATGATGAAGCTGTAGAACTGCTGTGAGATCTGGTCTCAGTCTCCTCCAGCTGAACAGACATCAGCCACTCCTTTTGTTTTCACCTCCAGGCCCTTCACCATCCTGGTGGCTCTCCTTTGGAAAGTCAAATCATCACTAGACAGAACAATCCACCTTATGAAGCTGTACAAATTTCGGATAACCATTTGTCCTAGAAAACTTTAAACCTTGACTCTATAATAAACAGGATAAGAGGAAGGGATGCAACAGAGTAATGCTGTGGGTTTTTTTAAAGCAAGATTTTCTTGCAGGGACAAGGGTGGGAGTTGATTAATTAGAGACAAAGGTAAGGCTGCAGAAAGGGTAGGCACTTTTACCTTTTCAAGTGCATCATAGGCCTGCGTTGCTTGCACTTCCTCCACAGACCCAGGCCGAGTTCTTTTCAGGATATTCTGTGTGAGAAAAGATGATTTTCATGATGCAAACAGGGAAAGGTGGACATTACCACCACTGAAGAGTACAATAAAAAGTAAAGCAGAAGTAGCTGATGACATGTGGAGACAGAAAGCCAAAAAACTGAGATGCAGAATGTCACTGTTAAGTCATACTGACCAGTAATTCCTGTAAATCTAAATTGTATTAATTGTCACATAGAAGTTATATGGCATAGGAAGCAACCACTAGCTAAACCACAAATGGATGTATGAACAGAATAGACTTGTTGTTTTCTCCTGGTAAAAAGAAGCTCAAATAATCAAAAAGAAGAAATTCATAGAAAGAACTCAAAATTAATTCTTTAGGGACTGGCTGGTTCCCTGTCTGGATGGCTCTTTATTAGTCAAAATTGCAGGCAAAGCATAGACACAGACTGCCTTCCAGAGGGCAGCCAAGGAACCCTTGCTTTGTTTTCCTAGCAGAAAGCCAGAAAGTTCAATGAAATGAAAATCAGCATTTTCTGAGAAGACTCCATTAATTCTTTCTTGGGGTACAATTAAAGTAGTGTCACAACAAAGCCCTAAATGATTCACAAATAGCAATGCCTCACGCAGTGCCACATCCATCATTTCCTGAACACCTCCAGGGATGAGGACTGCATCAGGTCCCCAGGCAGCCCTCAACCCAACGCCTCCAAACTCATTCTAGGAAGAAATTCCTCCTGATGTCCAACCTGAACCTTCCCTAATACAGCTTGAGGCCTTTTCCTCTTGCCCTGTCACTTGTTCCCTGGGAGCAGAGCCTAACCTCCTGCCACCTACACCCTCCTGTCAGGGAGTTGTGCAGAGACACAAGGTCCCCCCTGAGCCTCCTTTTCTCCAGGCTGAGCCCCTTTCCCAACTCCCTCAGCTGCTTCCAAACACAGCTCGAGGGAAACTTGAGGGAAGGCAGAGAATCACCACAGTTACCTGTAGGAGGAGTTTGAGTCGAGTGATGCGCTGGAAGGGGAGGATGAGGAAGGATTTAAGCGAGAGGCGCTGGCACACTGGATCACTTTCCAGTCTCTCCAGGACTTGCTGGAACCCTGCATTTCCATTTCTGTGGGAGCGGCAAAGAAAAAAAAGACATCCAGGCATCAGAGTAAATAAATAACCTTCCTAGTATCAGATTTCAGGGAATGCTGGAGTACTCCCAACAGTCAGGTTTTGTCCCTGGGGCAAGAAATGTCAAGAAACTTCACCACTCTGCTGCTGAAGAGCAACTATGGGTTTCTAACAGCTACAGGATGACAGTACAGCTGTTATTATCTCTATCCTCTTTCCACAGCTCTCTGGAGTAAAAGCCAGAAGTAACATCTACATTTCAACTCCCTCTATTAGCAGTGCTGCTTTCATGGGGACAGTGGTAGTTTGCACTCTGGTTCTCAGTGATCAAGACTGAAAACCATAATCCAGGATGGTCATTTTTGCTCTCTTCAGTAGAGGGCAGACAGAGAACAGCCTGCAACAAGATCAGATATTACACATTATTTCTCCATCCAATGATATGGGAGAGAAGCCTGCAGGAGCTCTGTCCTGCTGTCCCAAATGCCATTGAACTGAGAAAGGTTCTTCTGGGGGGTGTAGCAAGAGCACTGCTCAACAGCCTTTTCCTGCAGTATTGCCCATCATTTGAAAGAGCAGGAAGCTATTCATGGAAGGGGGAGAAGGGTGCAGCAAATGTGAAAAACTTACAGTAATCTCTGGAAGGTTTGCTCCTGATATGTCTGGTTTGTCACATATGGCAGATACACCCGGCGGAAGTCGGGGGCATGCTTCAGAGCCACGTCACACACACGGAAGGTGAACATGTCCTCTTCAAATTTTTCCTCCAAGTCAAAGAGGAAACTGCAGCACATGCATGTGGTGCCAAGAAATGAGAGGGAAATATCAGTGTCGTTTAGTCTTCTAAAACCTTGACAGCCCACACAAGCACAAAACGGCTCTTTAGGTCTAGAGAGAGTGTAATGTCTGGATAATGACAATATAGGCTTTGTATGAGCAAAGAAAAAGCAGAGGCAAAAGACTTCTATTCCTGAGAGGTCATGCTTCTACAGGCATAGTCAGGAAACAACTGAAAACTAAGACCTCGCCAGAACAATCTTGCGAATAGAAATGGAAAAGGTAGCAGCAAACCTTACCAGCTTAGTAATTTATGTAATCAAGCCTTGCAGGAGGAAAAGCAAAACAGAATCCTACAACATACAGAATTCCTGGCATGTGGGGTCATGTCCACATTTCATGAATTATGCTCTATTGATTCACATTAGTTTCTGTCAGGTGATGGTTGTAACTTACTGTTTTTCCTTTTTTACCCCACTTTTCATCAGGGATCATGCAGCTGCCCCTTTTGTCTTGTATTGGGCAGGAGCTGGTTTGGGTTGAACTCTAGTTAGTCAAGTTTAATTGTAGTTGAAAGCAGTAGCACAAGGCTACACTACCATTTTGATCCCCTGCAGTGAGCTCTGTGCTCAACTCAGCCGTAATATCTGGGATTTAACACCAGAATTCACACTGCCTTGTCACCTAAAAAGGTGAATATTCCTTTCCAGGCAGTGCTGGTGTGTCATCACTAGGTGCTGTATCTGCACTGAACAGTGCAGAAGAGGAGTGAGAAATGTTCCTGATGGAAGCACCATGTTAGACCTGGAAGCAAAGGGCCACGTCTCACCTGGCACTGACATCACGCACATCGGAGAGGCGGGAGAAGAGCCACTGGCGCTCCTGGTTGGTGAGCATCGCCTGGAGCTCTGCCGAGCGCTGGAAGTGATCCACTGCCACGTTCAAACTGCGCAGGTAGGAAGCCTCAGATATTATCAGCTCAAACTTGGCCTTGGGAGAGAAAACAAGGGAGCACAACATCAGTACACTGTGCAAGTCTGTGAGGAATCTTACAGAGAGGAAACGAGGCAAAGCAGGAAAACCTCCCAGCACATCTTGCAAGGAGTGTGTAATTACAGAAGAGAGGCTTTAGAAAGGAAGGGCAAGCATGCACTTACAGACTTTCTTTAAGAAACAGACTTGTGTTATGACTTAAAAATAGCTACTTGCTCTCATTTTACTTTTTATTTCCCCTCAACACCACTTTCATAAGCTCCCATAAAGTCCAGCATCTGTACCACACACCTTTTCCCATACTGTTGTTTTCACCTCTTTCTCTGAGTCCTCCTGTCCACTTCTCAGATCCTCTCATTTTCTTTACCCAGTTTCTCTGTACCATTGTGCTGAATCCATACATCTCCCAGTTTCCTCTCAGCCCTGCAGCTCACACAGGTCAATTTGCTAAACTCACACAGGTCAATTTGCTAAACTCATATTCTACTACAGAAAACAGAATTTACTGTGGTTTTATTAGCATTTCTCACAAGCTTATGTATGGGAGAATGCTGCAAGTCTTCTACTTTTACACACCCTTTTTCATTGAGCATACTCAAAACTCCTTATCATGTTCCCACTTTTCCCCATGTCTGTTTACTTGGAGTTATTTATACAGTGCAGAGTCTGTGCAGAGTCTGTGCAGAGTCAGTGCTGCTTTTCTCTAAAATTCAGCACTTCAGCATTGCTCTGCTTCATACCCCATGCTGCTTCCAGGAGTAGAAGTGACCTCTGCCTCAACTACCTGCATTCCCACAGCACAGATTTTGCTCTCTGCTTTAACCCTCCTTCCAGAGACTCTTTCTTGACTACAAGACCACCCATTTACTTTGCCACATCTGCCCCATACCTCTTGCAGCCTCTGCTCCTCACGGGACATGTTGAGCAGTATTCTGCTGCCCCGTACCATGGGGATGTCCTGCCAGAGGGATGCATTAGATGAGACTGACAGACGTTGCAAATATGAGTCCTGGGGAGACAGCACTTTCCTCCGTAGCCTCGGGGAACTTGGTAAACTTGACTCTATATCCTCTGGATAATCCACTCTCTTCTGGCTTTGGATGGCCTTGTTCAGAGCCACATCACTGTACTCCTGATACAGTAATCTTGCTGTGGAGAAAAACACATATATTTATCTTTTCTGTAGTAGCAACTCACCCTCTGCTTTCAACCTGGAGAAAACTCTGCCCCAGACTGGGACAACCAAATTCAGGCAAAGCTCCTCAGCTGCCTGAGTGTACTGCAGGATTCCAGAGTGTACTGCCTTCCCTGCTCTCTATCACTACATCCTCACAACCACCACGTGGCAGAAGTCCCTCTCCTTTGTGCTCACTGCAAGGGTGAAAGATGCTGGTGGAGAGGGGACTGCCACAGCACCTCAGGCAGGAGGTACTTACAGGAGTTGATCAGTTTGGAGTGCCGACGCTTGAAGTTCTCTGTTGTGTCTGCAGACTTCTTCTCTCTGCCACGGAATAAAGATTTCAAAACACGGAGTGAACAAAGGGCACAGCACCAGAGAAGGCTTATCCAAACCTTAGAAACTGCTCTGTCACAACAGGGACCTCTTATTTTCCAACAAGCTCAAGCTCCACAAGCTTTACTTGACACAAAGGGAAAAGTCTGGCTTAATGGAAAGGCTGTCCTGAAGGCACAGAAATACCTCTGTTGCAGTAGGGTTCTCTTCAAGAGAGCATAGACTGAAACACAGACCTATGGCATTTAATTAAAGTTTTCCACTCCTTATCATCATCTTTGGTAACTCAAAAACAACGGAGGTTTCTGTGCTTCACAGGGATTGGGGCAAATTCTAAGGATCTTTGAGAGACTCACCGCATTATAACTGTTTCTGAGATGACTGGTGGTTCCCTGTGTGCCTGGTGAGCTTCCTCCTCTGAAGGAACAGAAGAAACCTCTGCATAGAAGACAATTGGAAAGTAAACACATCAGTCAATTTTAAGACTTAATCTACAATCCAAATGACACACAGATACCACTTAACTATGCCCCACCTAAGTGACAGTGTTGAATTGGAGTACAGGTGCCCTTGTGGCATTTATTTCTGGGTCAGAAACATTCTAGTTTTAATAATTCTTGACATTACTTACACTTTACATCTGTTAGCCACATTTACTTTTCACACAAAGAAAAAGGCTGATATTTTAGGCAGCAACAGTAACTCTAAGAGCTTCCCTCTCCAGTTAGGCAAGTAAAGACATTGCCTGTGTGCCTTGTTTGGTGCTGTCCTAACGCTTTCAGCTACTAGGGCCAGGTATCAGATCAGTGGAGCCAAAGTGTAAAAATGGAGAAGTCCTTTCGATTTGTGAGAGATTTAATCAAATAAGGTGTGAAGAAATTCTAAATTTCAAATAACTGGAAGCAGAAAAAGGAAGAAAGTCCAAAGACCGAGCTGCAGTTATGGATAAGGGGAAAGACAGTACTATTGCCTTGAATATTTTAAAATTTGGAATCAAGAAATTACAGGTCAAACATACTAACAGATCTTGAGATTCGAGTTCTTCCAAACCTTTTACACCCTTCCATACCCCTCTCCTTTTCCCCTGTGCCAAAAATACAGCATGTTTCAGAGCTTCAAAAATAGACTAAAGCAAGAGCTAAAAAGAAGTAATTATTTAAAGTTCACGTAAGGTATAGTAAAGAACATATATACATCCTGATAGCAAGTACTGCTGAATGAGCTGTATTACAGAAGATGCATATTTTCCACTTGTGACATCAGTGATTTGATTTCTGTGCAAGCTGAGACCTTGGGTTTGACAAACTTTGCTTCTTATCTGTACTCTTAAATCTTGCGCTCACGAGAATATAATCTTTTTTAAAAGGTCAAGTGGGAACCTAAAAGTGCCAGTTGCAAAATAAGGGGAGGCAGCAAATAAACAACTGATAAGAGATATGGGCTACTGAGGGTGTGTGCATGGCTCTTCTTTACTGCCTCAGGGATCCATGAAATAAGTTTATTTTAGCAGGAATTAGTGTGGCATGGGGAGACTGAGCCCCAGAGTGCATCCCTCAAGCATGCATCACTCAAGGGAACAAACAGGATACAGAGGACAGCAGAGAGGAAAGAGGGGACAGCTGGGAAGGGAAACTTGGGGCAGGATAGGAGACGGCTGTAAGGCTGGAGCAAGGAATATCACTTGAAAGGCACAAGAGCCATGCTAAGGTCTCTACTCTCATGCTTCTCCATCATACTGTTTATTTAATTTAATCCTATGTCTTGATAACTGTTCTAAGTTGGAGGGGGGAAGAAGGAAGGGAAATGGAAGAGAGGACTCACGCTGCAAGATGTCTGGTGGTACTGACATCCTCTTCAGGCCCTGACGGTGCCAGTCCTTGGTTTTTACTCGGCTTTTTATTGGGCTTTCTTGATTGCCTGCTGGGTCCTGCATAGCTACCCCAATAGTTTTTTTGTCTGGCCAACTTGATGATTTTTCCAAGGTTGCATGTTTGGCCTTTTCTTCCTTTGGCTGGTGTTCTCCTCCTTCCGGCCTTTGCCTGACTCTCCTCTCACCTTCTGTTTTCTCTGTGACTGCCAGTGGAGCCTGGATGTTCTTTGTGTCCCCACCAAAGCTACCTGTGGGCTGCTGCCATCGCAGCTCCTTGTCCTGGCAGGTTGTTCTGGTAGTCAGCAGTGATGGAGGGCTGAGCCGGAGGAAGTGAATAGGATTGGTGAATGCAAGCATTGGAAGGAGCTGTGCAGACTCTCTGCTTTTGGAGTCTGGGGATGTTATCAGGCCTTCCAACGAGGGCCAAGAAGGGTGGTCAGGTGAGGATTTTCCACTCTCTACATCCATGTCGTGATCTGCTGTTTCAGGGCTGGTGTCAGAGCAGCCAACCAACATTTCGTTTCCAAAAGCCAAAAAACTTTTGGTCAGCAAACTGACCCCTGAGTCATCAGAAGTCTCTGTATCATGGGGACCTGAGTCACCAAGATCCCACACTCCACTCACTGGAACAAGGTCATCTCTCTCTGCTAGACTTTCTCCATCAGAAGCAGAGGCCACAGAGTTGGTATCAAATGCAGAGGAGGCAGTCCGGAGATGACAGCTTGGAGCAGGGTGAATGGCTCCCAGCTTACCATCATCCATCCCACAGCTGAGGAGGGGCCTGGAGTGCAGTCCAGGAGCCAGCAGCTGGTGACCTTCAGGGACTGGAGGTGAAACAAGGTGATTTGTGTGGAGTGCAGGGGCCTGAGCTTGACTGGGCCTTTGGACACGGGAAGGAGGATGAGGAAGCTGTTTGGCATCAGGCTCAGACCCCAGAGGTAGGCTTGAGTGGGACACAGGGGACAGAGGTTGTCCTTGCTGGTTCACAGCAAGGACCAAATCATCTTTGGAGGGCCAAGTTAGGGCGCTCAGGACACTGGAAATTCTGGATCCAGGCTCTTTTTGGTATAAACTGCAGTCAGGCTCATCAAATAAAGGCACTTGTGCTTTACGATCCACATCTGCTGCCATTTCTTTTCCTTGTATAATGGCACTTTTTTGGGGAGAGATTTGCTGAATTGTCTCTGGGTGGTTCAGGGGAGTGGAAGTCCTTCCTGGTGTTTGGGATACTTCCAGAGGTCCTGCAATACCAGCCACAGACCTCCTATCTCCAGGAAAGCCCCCCTGTAGAGGAAAGGAGCTAGTGTACGTGACAGAGAAAGAAGTTGGGCCACTAAGGTCCTCATGATAGCTTTCCTCAGAAGTAAGGAGTTCATGGGAAGTCTTGGCCTCCCTTGCACCTGTCCTTACAACAGCAGTTTCTGCTGGTGTTGGGTTCCACTCTTGTGCAGAAGCAGCTTGTTTGGGTGGTTTCCCTGCAGAGTCTGGCAGCTTGTTCAGCCTGGTGCCAGGACAGTGCTCAGAGGTCACAGAGGCTATTCTGCCACCATCCTGCTCTGGAACAGATGCTGACACTGCTGAGGTGATCTCTGAGGGGGAAGCTGGAATGAAGTCCCAAAGCTCAGCTTTTCCTGTTATAGGATGAAGATCTATGTGATCACGTGGCTCCAAGTTACTGATACCAGATGAAGGGTGTGCTGGAACAAGAGCCTCTGGGTTCTCTGCGCTAAAAGGTGCTATCACCCCTCCACAGAGTGATGCATCTCTTTTATCAAACCTCTGGACAGCTTTTCCATGATCATCACTGTGCTCATTCTCCCTGCCCAGTCGTGTCTTATCATCCCAGTAAGCTTCTCCAATATCCTGACCACCGATGGAAAAGCGGCCAGAGTCCTCCAGATCTTCTGCTTGGTCAGAAACATGGCACGTGTATGGAGTTTCCCCCCCTGGGTTCTGGTTTTTTGAGGACAGAGGGCTGACAGCAGGTGGCTGACATCCAGAACCTGCTTCTGTGACATGAGCTTTCAGCAGCACATCCTCACCAGGATGCTGCTCCACAGAGACCGGTTCCCCAGGAAGAAATACTGATACTGTTTGCTCAGACAAGGAAGCATACTCCAAACCACACACATCCACATTATGCCTGGGAACAGAAGGTATCTCTGACCCAAAAGCTGATGATAAAGCCTCTAGTTTCAGCTCTTCCCCCAGTTTGAGCTCTTCCCTTGGCAGTTGTTCCTGCTCATTTTGTTCCCTGTTTTTCTGATCTTTGAGTTCCAAAGGTTTGCCTTCTTCCAGCAAATTCTGCTCTTTGCACTCTTCCTCCTCCTCTTCTTGTTGAAGTCCAGACACTGCCTCCTCCCAAGCTGGCTTCTTATGCCGTGAAGCATTCACTTCCTCTGTCCTTTTAGAAGTACTCTTTCCTTGAAAAGCACTCTTTGCTGAAGGGGCAGGTCTGCCCTCCATTTTTCTGTGATCATCTTCTAGATGAAGGCATCTGGAAGCAGATGAGTTCTTTTTAGGAACCATTCCCTGGTCTTTGACCATCATGGTATTCCCTGTTTCACCAGATGAGTTGTTTCCTTCTGCTTGTAGTGAACTCATTTGGCTGTCACATGTTAAGGTGGAAGTCAACTGATGGAAAGAGGAAGATTCTGTATTCTTTTCCAAACCCTGGGGTGCTCTTAAGCTTTCCTGAACATTTTCAGAAGTGTAAGGTTTAGCTGTGTCTTCTACTGCTCCCTCTGAGGTAGGCTGCTCATCAGGTGCTGGTGCCAACTTTTTAGTGCTTTGCTCCTGCTCTGCACCAGCATCAACCTCCTGCAAAGAGTCCTTCAAGATGTTACCCAGAAAGGGTTCAGCCTTATAATGTCCTTCTGAAACAGTTTTACACACCAAAAAGCACTTAGGTGTGTCCCTCTGAGAGGCAATGGCATCAGTCAAAGGGGATTTCGTTTCCTGGGCCTGAGGGTCTAAGCCATGCACAGGCAGTTCTGCTTGGCACTGAGGAAACTCAGCGCTGAGCTTCACAGCCTGCAGGACTGGGCTGCCACGGGCTGGCTCATCCGGGACTCTGCTGTGAGAGGAAAGGCCCTGGTTGCTTTCCAGGTCAACCAGTTCCAATTGCCTAAGTTTCAGAGAATAATGCAGTCCACCCTCCTCTAAAAGCATTTCTCCTTCCAGTTCTGAGAGTCCCTTTTGAGGCTCTGTATCCCTTTGGCCTTGTTCCAGTCCTGCTGGCACTTTCTGCATAGAGTCAGAAGGTCTGCCCAGCATCTCTGCTGCTTTCCCTGGAGCAGCAAGGCAGTCCTTGGGTGTGTTGAGCTCTGGTCCCTTTGCAGAGTTAAATGGGCTGGTGCTCATTTCGGCTGCTATATGAGTGGCATGATACTCTCCTGCCACGGCTGAAGAATCCCAGGCTTCCCCAGTGATGCTGCTGGCTCCTGGGGGAGTGGTACCTCTCTCACTGGTTTCTTCAGACTCCATTAGTGACACATCCTGCTGAAGAAAAATGAATTTTTCTGTTACTACTTCACAATGATACATGGATCTAATTCACTGCTTCTACTGCAGCTGATAAAAACCAAAACACACACCACATACCTAGAGGGTGATAAGAGCTGGGAAACAAACACAAAGACTGAGAATAGGCAAAAACCACATGTATGCTTGAAGATGAGAGTAATATCAAAATAACCCCACTGGTGTCTTTTTAGTTTGACATGCAAATGCAGAAAGTGACTTTGGTCGAAGAGCAGAGATGCTGAGCTCTATGCAATAGCCACAGGGCAACTTATGGAAAGTGGTGGCCATGGCTGGTTATCTCACACCCAAAAGGGGGTACCAGAAGGCATCCAGAGAACATGAAAATTTTCAAAAATCTCCATTGATTTTCATCGGGCAAGGTGGACAAATACTACTGGCCTCTTCTAGCCAAGTTTAAAAGTTTTCTCTGATTTTGCCTGTTCTTTGGAGCTGATGGCTCTCTTTGCAGATCTCTGTGTGGGTCTGAAATTCATTGCAAATGACCACAGAAATTAATTAACAAAACATAGGAACATACACATTAGATTAACAGGTAACTAGAACATGACACAAGACACAAGATATTTGAAGGCTGTAAACCACATGGGTTTAGAGGAGTAGCTCTGGTGTGTGTGGACTAATCTATAGACTAGAGAGAAACTATGTCATCATTTAGTCTACTCTTTTAGGGAGGGGAAAAGGAAAAAAAAAGCCATCTCAGGATTGCTGGACAGTTTCCCAAAGGATATAGTGGAATTTCCCATCCACTATTGCATTTGAAGTTCAGACATGACAAAGCACTAGGGAATGCACATTTGGGGTATGTCTGTGAAAAGGACAGAAGAATATGATTCACCACTTTTACCTGTCTGTCTTCTACCATGACCCACAATCCCTACCTGGAAAAAACCTGAGAAAGAGACAAACTGTTGTGGCTGCCTCTCTTTTCTTCTACGGTGATTTCCTTGTGCTAGAGTGGCTCTGTAGTCACAAGTACCAACTTCTGATCCCACACAGAAAGTAAAAGCAGTAACGGCATAATTACATCTGAACTAATTGTCCCAGTTAGCTCCATGGCCAGGGCACGCTTGGCCTGAAAGATGGTTTAGCTTCTGTTTTCCCTTACGTCAAGTAAAACAAAACACCTGCTCTGAAGGCAAGGAGCGCATGCTCTGGAGTTAGAACTGAAGCATTTATACACCTTCATCACAGAATTGTATTGTCATCACAGAATGGTTTGGGTTGGAAGTGGCATCAAAGATCACCCAGATACAACCCCCAGCACGGGCACCTTCCACTATCCAAGGTCACTCAAAACTCCTGTGCAAAACATGGCCTTGAACATTTCCAAGGATGGAGCAGCCACAGCTTCTCTTGCCAACCTGTACCAGAGCCTTCCACCCTCATATTAAAGGATTTCTTCCCAGTATCATATCTAAATCTCTCCTCTTTTGGTTTAAAACATAACCCCCTTGTCCTATGACTACCTGCCCATGTAAAAAGTAGCTGTCCCTATTTCTAAACACCAAGGGTGTTTAGAAATAGGGACAGCTACTTTTTACATGTAGCTGGAAGGTTGAAATGAGGTCTCCCTGGCACCTTCCCTTCTCCAGGCTGAACAACCTCAATTCAAAAAAAATTAGGAAAACAATTGAGTTAGCTAATTGAGTTAACTCATCAGCTAACTACTTCCTGTGTGTTTCTTTTCTCATGTCATCTTTAATTTTTGTTTATAGTGAAAATACAGTCTTTCTTACAAAACCAGGCCAAAACCAGGGTTTTTCAGCAATTTGGATTGTTCCTCCCAAGCACTGAGTAGTTGTAATAGCTGTAATTTTAACAACCTGTTTGTTTCAAAGAGGTATGTCCATTCAGGGGATTCCCACGGAGTTTCCAGCTGCTGTCAGCTGCTACTAAACTACCTGGATACTGCTAAATTGTCTTTTCAAAGGTTCCACATCAGATCACTCTTGTACTACACTGCTCTTGGCTCTCCTGGCTACCCCACCTGAGTCTACTCAGCTCCAGGCCTAGAAAAGTACTACTTCTCACACCTAATACAGAGAGTCTTCGAAAACAGGCTACCCAAGAGCAGAGAGACTATTTAGGGAGACATAAGCAGCTGGCTAAGAAAGGTTTACTCTTAGTAAATATAGGATAAAGATCTGAATAGCAAAGTGCTCAAGCTCAAGCCCACACTTTGTCAGGGGAAGAACTCCTGCTCACTGTGCTGTTTCATAGATGTACACAGCCTGGAATTTCCTCTTATTAAGCTCAAAATGCTAGTTTTCATCTCCATGGCTCTGTTGCAAGGGATTTTGACAGGCGAAAGGACGAGTTTAACACCGCATTTGGAGCAGTTCCATGATGATACTGGGAGGCAGGGTAGAGGGAGGTGCACAGCACATCATCACTGGAAGCTGCCAAGTGAGATTTGTCTTATCATAATACTGCCAGGTGTTTTGCGCACCTCAGGGAGAGCAAGAGAGGAGCTCTGAGAAGTGAGGCAGGAGAAGGAGCAGGCAAACTTTCTGCAGAAACACAAGGGGAGGACATGCATTTCACCAGGGAAACTGTTAAATTCCCGGTCAAAGGCTGGGTACACCATAGTAGAAGACACATGTCTGCAATAAAGATTTCATGGAGATGGAAGGGGAAATAATAAAACAAGACTGACAGCACCTGTATGTTGGAGATTTTTTCAGGGATGGCTTAGAAGGCAGCTGTGAGGAGCAGATTCTCACAGCCTGCTTCTGTGAACAGCAGAGGTTCTCAGGTTGTTTTTAATTACAGGTAAAAGTGACAAACATGAAGGCCTTGAGAGCCTTGCACATCAGAGTTCTCAGGCAGCTTTCTCATAACAAGTGGATGTTCTATCTTTGGCTGTTTTGGGAAAGCAAGAATAATTTTNTCTTTGGCTGTTTTGGGAAAGCAAGAATAATTTTGAGAACCCAAATCTTGGTATTGGAAACATAAGGAGGGGTTGGTATGTTATCTCTGACCTATTGTGAGCTCAGATTTTGCAATATGCATGAACTTGATTAACACTGTTATAAAAGGTGCATGATTGATTAATAAATCGGAGTCGATGGCTGACCAATGCCAGGTGGGTCGTCTCCCTTCCAACTTCAATACCTGTAGTCTTCACACGCAGAGCAGCTATGTACAAGAGCCCAGTAAAAACCAGAAGAGAGTGCCTGTGGAGCACAGTCACATTTAACTCCCAATGCAGGTCTGCTCCATCAGAGGAGGTCCCAGGAGACCCCCAGGAGCTCAGCTACCCAAAGCAAACTTTCAATTAGCATTTTCAGCAGGGGCAATAATGTGATAGAGCAACACACAGGACCTATCTAGCCGCTGCCACTAGGCAGGATATACAAACTCTCAAAAATAATTCACTGTTTCCCCTTTTGAGGCTTACCGATCTTTCACATCTCTAACTGGATCAGATGATCAGCTGGCCATCACTCCCTCATATGCTCTGTCTGTGAAACGAGGTAAACCAATGTTCCCTGTTGAGATAAAGACACTCAGGCTCTTCTCTAGAGAGGGCCTAGAAACACCAGACTTCAGCTCCCATGCACTCAGCTTTTATGTGATTCTGGGAGCACAGAACCCCTCCAAGTGAGAGGGAGCAACTGGCCACATGCCAGCACAAAAACAGAAGGGCAGTGCTTGGTCCTGCTGCAGTCACAGGCACAAAACCTGAGAGGAGAAGGGTGAAGGAGGTGGCCTTCAAGAGCAAGAAAAGGACAGCAGTGAAAGCATAAGGGCACAATCCATCAACAGCTTTCCCAGTTTACAAAAGGCAACGTGAATGTCATACTTCCTTCCACTGTGGGTTAGTTCACCTGGACAGAGATGACAAACACTTTTGGTTTTAAATAGAAAGTACCTCACCTTCCCTCCCCGCCTCCTCCAACAAACAAGAAAGGAGCAATAACAAGTACTATCAAGCACAGACAAGCCCTTTGGCTAGCCAGGAAGTAAGGCTACACACAAGTGGAGCAGCAAGATCTTCCTCCTCCAAAAGTGGGGAGAAATGGAGCTTTCTGCCCACCCCCTTGTCCCTCACCGCATGCTGCCGGGTGGCGCCCGGCCACCCTCGGCCCCACTCCCCATCCTGCCTCCCCTGCTGTGGGCCATGGAGTAGCCCACGCTCCCAGCAGAGAAAGTCCTGCCCTGTGACGTGGGGATGGAGCTGCTCCGGCCCAGTTGAAGCCATGAGCTTCTGGCAGTGAGAGGAGAAAGGCATTCATGATAATGTTTGAGCGGCATGAGCGAGGACACCCTTTTTCTCATTGAAACAAAGGGTTTCCAAGTAGTCCCTAGTCTGAGTTTATCCTTGCTAGTGCAGCCACAACGTGGTGTAGAAATGCCAAAGCTGGTTTTAAGGACTACAGTTCAGGCAGGAAAGAGTTTTGTGTTTGGCTCTAACACCCACCCAAAAAACAACAAGGCTGCCCTGAGCCTTTTCCTGCTATCTCAGCTTGGTTTAATCATCTTGGTCACAGAGTTTGGGTACACTTCACAAGAAGCTGAAAGAGGGGAAATTTAGGTTAGATATTAGGAAGAAATTCTTTCCTGTCAAGGTGGTGAGGTTCTGGAACAGGTTGCCCAGAGAGATTGTGGCTGCCCCATCCCTGGCAGTGTTCCAGGGCAGGTTGGATGGGACTCTGAGCAGCCTGGGATAGTGGAAGGAGTCCCTGCCCACAGCAGATGGGTTTGGGACCAGGTGATCTTTAAGGTCACTTCCAACTCCTTATCATTCTATGATTTGAATCAGCTCAGAGACAGCCTTTCTCCTTACAAAATCCAGAGCACAGTGTGCAGGACAGCACCATCTCTCGCAGGAAGGCACGCACTGGACTTCAGTTTGGTGAGACACCCAGGAAACTGAACACAAAGCCTGCCCTGCCACAAGCCTCAATTTTGGTATTTCCTCAGCTAGTCCTGCCATGCTTAGGCTGGCTTCC